TTGGTGTCCACGTAGTACACCAGGATGTCCTCCATGTCCACAGTCTGATCGCCCACTTTGGGAGAGAACGTGTTCTGGTTGGTGAACAGGGGCAGAACCTTGACCTGCAGAGACCAGAGGACACGAGTCTGTCAGGGACATCTTCTGAAGCTCCGCCCACCCGCCCAGGTGTACCACTTACGTCCTTCTCCATGTAGTAGGCCATGTGGGCCAGGTTGATGTCCTTGTTGTCCTCAGGCTTCTTCACGTCCACCACGATGCGCCGGGCTTCTGGGTCGTACTGGAAACGAGAGAGCAGTTAGCGAAGCTCCGGGGCGGTTCTGGAGCGGGTCCGACTGTGGGGGCGGGGGCTCACCTGAATCTCTTTGACCAGGCTCCTGTCAAAGCCGTAGCGGTCTCTGATGGCGTCCCCGATGGCGCTGTTGGGAGGACAGACTGGTGAGGTTCTGGTGGTGAGCGGGTCGGGCGGAGCGGACCGGAGGTACTCACCTCTGCAGTTGGCCTTCATCCAGTTTGGTCGGCACCGGCTTGTGTTTCAGCTGCAGACGAACCCAGCTGCAGAACAGAAGCGGGTCAGAGCAGAACCAGCAGCAGCAGTCCGTCCAGAACACGCGGTACTTACAAGGTCTCCACCAGCTCGGGACACGTGATGCTTTCCTTGTCGCCCTTGTCGGTCCTGCGGACCCCGGCGCTGTTCACGCACCAGCACTCTGCGGTGCCGTTGCACTGCTTGGCCCGGAATTTACCGTCGTTCTCGCACTCCGGGTCGTAGATCGGGTCGTTGTTGGTGAAGGCCGACTCCACCGGCTTGCCTCCGATGGTGCGGGTGCCCAGGTTGTTCTTGGCCCGGTACATCTCCGCCTTCATCAGGATGCACTTCGGAACCACTGGGGGTCAGAACCATTCAGTTAATGTCAAACCTTAGAGGTCCAGACCAGAACCAGAACCAGAACCGGAACACTTACAGACAGAGCAGTTCAGGGTTTTTTTCTCACCAGCACCGACCAGAATCGTGCACTGACAACCAGAGCCAACTGGGTCGCAGGTGGCCCACTTCATGGACTGACACACACCTGGGGGGACAAGAAGGTGGACCATGAGCTCAGTGCAGACCTGCAGGGTCCGCTCCAAGGCCTACAGGTGAGGTGAACACCTGGGCGTTGGTTCCCCACCCCCACCTCTCCACACCTGAACGGTTCCGTCCAGGCCCACTGACAAACAGAACTTTACTCACACTGAGCTGCAGCCAGGGAGCAGAAGGCAGCCAGGCCCAGAAGAACCAGAACCTTCGTCATGACTTCGGTCCTGGATCGATTAAAGTTCCCTTGGTTCCGTCAGAAAACTGATCAACACTTCCGTCTTCAGCTGATCAAGGTGTGTCCCGGAAGAACTGCGCGCGCACCCAAAACAACCACGAGCACGTCCGTCTCTAACCGTCACGAGCTTCTTCTCCAACTGAACCGAACTTTACCTGCACGTTTATAAAACCAGCCGCGGTGACGTCACCCGCACTTACGTCGGAGGGAAGGTGAGACTGACCTGTTTCCGGTATGACCATATTTGTCTCGTTTCGGTGTTTCTGTTTTCCAGAGAAGTAGAAAAACTGAAGAAACTAATGGGAACATAATCTGAGCTGCACGGGATTATTTATGTTTAAATTTATTAGATCAATAAAGTAATTCAGATTTAGGCGGATTATTTATGTGGTAATTTGTGCGCCTGTTAGCGAAATATCTGCTGATCCTCTGACTGATTGAAACTCTGAAAAAGATTGTTGGACACCATCTAACTTTGGCTGCATCTAAGATGGCCGCCACAGCTAATGGACCTCACATGCAGGACGTGCAGGAAGCTCCAGGTTGGACTCTGGTCCGTCCTGAACCTGGACTCGGGCTGTCTCTCGTTTTGTCTTCACAGAGACTTGTCTCAGAGCGTGAGCACGTGACGTGACAGAAACTCGTTGTTTCCTCTGTGAGCGTGACGAGGCCGCAGAAACTGAGCTTCCAGGTGAGTCACCTCCGCCTCTCACACAACACAGCCTCCAGGTGAGGAGCACTGCTGTAGGTCGTCGGTTAGAAACCCTGAAGCAGCTGCCCCTGAGCACAAACACCTGTTCAGGTGTGTTGCTGCAGCATGTCCAGAGGTGCTGAATGTTTGTTCAAGGATTCAAAGTTCTTTATTTGTCATACAGATGATCACATGTGGTGGAACAAAATTATGTCCACAGGGTCCCAGTTACATCCAACAATAAAATGTAAAAGAAAAACAGTAATAAGGTCAAAGATATGAACTAAGACAAACATGAACAAAATATACACAAAGAACTAATAGCATTACGTGGAACAGCAGCACGAACATGAGTCTGTGTGAGCAGAGGAGCACGCATGAACACCAATATAAAACAGATCAGCAGCAACATGAAACAGATCAGCAGCAACATGAAACAGATCAGCAGCAACATGAAACA